TGTCTGCATGCATATACATACATATGTATATATTATAAATATATATATTTTTTTTAATCTACCCGCTCCTATATGATGGCGTATTTATTGAACTTGTCTGATTGTCAGCGCAAGATGTAAATTAATTCAACCAATTGAAAATTATTAGCTTTGCGCTCTCTTCGCTTGAAATGTGCGCTGCAAAACGTCAAACAAATTAATTTTACTGCAGTTATTGGTAAGATTTTTATTTCTATAAAACCAAGCACGAATGAATTTATGAAATTTAATTAAATTTTATATTGATATAATTAATTTTTATTTTATTTCAGCATTACAATTTTGCTTTGTCGCTCCCTTCTGAGGATGGACTTGAAAATAGAAAAAAAATCGCCTGTTAATATATGCACATATATAGAAACAAATAATAACATATGTATTTATAAATATCTAAAATGTTAAAAAAGCAATTTGGTCGATATTCAAAATTATTTGCCAAAACAATGGAAGTGGAGAGTAAAAAAATATTTGTATGTGAGTGTAAAATGTAATGTGTAAATGCGCTTGTTTGTTTTGTGAATAAAATATTTGTATTAAAATTGGAATAGAGTACATATGCATGTATATACATACACAAGTGACAGCAGCGGGCGAATGTAAAACAAAGCGAAAGAGAAAATAATATTGTGTTTACTAGAGTAATTTTTAAATTAAGATTCAATTTTTTAATGTTCAAAGTGTAATAATGTGAAAATAAAAAAACCGGAAGAGCGTTGTAGAAAAATATTTCAGTTCGCTGATTATGAAAGTGTGGTTAATTCAAATGTTGAAAAGTAGTGGTAACAGCCGGCGTAAATGAAAAAACAAGCGACCCGTTGGAAGCGGCATACACGGAGAACAAAGAGAGCGTGCACGAAATTAAGAAAGTTTGGTGACTGAAAGGTGAGTGGAAACTACATATATCAATTCAAATTGTATTACTACATGTTTTTTTCATTGTTATGACCAATAAATTTGGAAAGACGTGAGATATGATTTGAAATATTCAAACATACATCTGTTACAAATGTCTTTAATATGTATATATACATACATACATACTAATARTTGCAAACAAGAGACGCTGATATATGTATGTACATACATTGTAAATAATATTTTTATATTGTTTGTTCCTATTGGAGGCTTTAATTTAAGCATTTAAATTCATAATGATAGCAGCGTTTTACTAGTCAATAGTTGCCAGACTAAGAACGCCCGCTCAGAACTTTAGAATTTGAACAGAACAATGCTTTCTTTTGTTTCAATTACGATTATGGTAACCACTTTCAAGGCAGACATATCGCATTATTTTGCGATTTTTTATTTTATTTTTTGAAAAGTATTTTATTTAATAATTAAATAAGGAATGTACATTCCTAGAAACTAATGTACTTTTTAATCGACAATTCATTTTGAAAAATCTTTGATTCTTATGAGTGGGAAATCAATCTCCGGCGGGACGGTATCTGGTTAAGACCTTTCTGCTAAATATTATGTCAAATCCAAATTTCAAAAGTGTTTATTATGATCAGAGGATTAGAGAAGATTTTAATTTTTAACAGAATGGCGGCTTTCCAAAAAAGTCCTTTTTGTGTTAAAATTTACACCTCAGAGTGCCTTAAGGGGCTACATGGGTTTCCTCGGGTAAAAGCAGCCTTTTTTTCAAAAATTTTTTTACGAACATACACATTATTAACAAAGAAATTCTGAATTTTTTGCAACAAAATATTTTTTAACTCGGCCATTGCGACGAAATTTCCGATGCGCCCGCAAGAGAACTCCTTACAGGATTGTCTAAAGTGAAAAATACTACGTGTTATAGTTAAGAACTTAACTTAGAACTTGGACGAAAAAAAAAGAAAATTAGATTTTTGGCAGACATTTTTACGAAAATAATTAAACTTTCAGTGAAAATTTCGAGACATTTTTTTTTTCAAATTGTTGTAAGGGGAAAAAAAATTATTCGTTCAAGTCTTTGAGAATTGTGTCTCAAAGAGCTGTGGAAAATTTCATAAAGATCGGTTCGTTCTCGAGAAATCTTGTGAACCCACAGTTTCGATGAAAATTTAGGGCAATATTCCAGAGGTGTCGTAGAATTTAATAAAGTAATCGATTTTTTGAAACCCATGTAACCCTTTAAAATTATATGGTAATTACTAACAATTAATTGTAATCCGAATTTGTAATGAGCGAATTACATATATAATGGGTTATAAACCCACCGTCTTTTTTGCACAATACCGCTACTTTTTAAAAATAAACCATGCTATTATAAAGATCATACTTACAAATACATATGCATATGTTATTTAGGTATATATACTACTCTACCAGACTACTCTAACGTTTTTTGTTTTTAACATTTACTCTACTCCATGTAGAAAGTTAAGCGTAATGGCGCTATGAAGTTTGACATTTGACTTGTTACTTAGCTTTCCACCCAGCATCTTACATTTAGACACTTTAATTTTTTATTTAATTGGCGCCATAACCAACTCTGCTACTAAATTATCAAAATTTACACTAAGTGATCAATACCTTGAATTATATATAAAAAAGATATACACACGCTCGTCTATATCGGCATATTTAATTAAAGAAGTATTATTCAAATGTCATGAGACAATTTTGCTTGTTGTTTTCTGGCATTTTAACAGTCCACAAGTATACACAATACCAAATTAATTTATATCGGCATATGCTTTATAATACAACTTAACATAATGTATACATATGTATGTATACATATTTATATACAAGCAAGTGCATTGCACATAAGTATGCTTAATTTCGTGGCCGAAAGACCAAAATCAATATACAATTTCGGACAAAGTAGTATATTGATCTTTGTGAACTAATTCGTCATGTGAGAGAAAATATTTATGAGCTAGAAAGTAAAATACGTTACAGGGTGGTTCGAGTTGCGCCGTATTGATCAATGATATATACATATTTTGGTGCATGCAAGAAAATAAAACTTTTTTTTTAGAAATTTTAGACCAAACCACGCAAAAACGTAAAATGTTTTAAATGTTTATATTTTGGGAATTAACGCATTTTACACCCGCTTTTGAATTAATAAGTTAGAATTTAATATATCATAGCTGCCATAAGAACATCTGTAATAAAAATAATAAATAAAGTTTAGAAGTGAAATGATGGCGGTCTTGGCGTTTAAGGTAGGCCTTTTGGTTTAAGACTTCTTCCGTTTCTGCAACAGTCGGGTATAAGTAAGCGAAACGGACCATGAAAATATCTGGCAATGTTTGTGCTGCAACGCTTCAAGCCTAGTGAATATTTTTCTGATAGTATTCGACCAACTTTGTAGCAATATAAACATCTTTAAAGTAACATGGAAGAAAAAAAATCCATAAAAGCTAGCTTCTGGATTTGAACGCAGGCTTCTTATACTTTTGATGACATATGTATGTATGTAAATTCTCAGCGTGACCAGCTGAATGGATTTAGCCATGTCCATTTGTGGGTCAAAACTCTCTCCCTAAAATCGGAGAATGATAGTTCGGTAATAATAAAAGACTGGCGAAAAGCTTAGATGGTTAATAGATCGCTTCACATAGGGTTTTTCTGGAAAGTAATAGGATTTATTTTTTCCGCCACGACTGTACTTCGGAGCGTGCGCAAACCGACTGTATTCGGTAAAGGGCTTTCCTAGCTAACGAACTAGCGGCTGGTCAGTGCCTCCGAACACCTAGACAGTCAGAACAAACATTTTCGCTGTCAATGCCAAGTTTTACGTGGAAGTCCTCAAGGGATTCAAACGAAGGGTCAATCGGATCCGACAAGACATGCAACCTTTCTTGTGAACAGCTAGCCCCGCCGGATTTTGTTTGTGCCCTTGCCTGAAAATACCACTAGAAGGCAACCATTTTGAGACGACAGAGGCTCTCAAGGCTAATCCGGAGAATGCCTTTCGTAATATCTTCAATGCCAGGAAATCGCGCTGGCAGCGCTGCATCGACGCATGAGGAGCCTATTTTGAAAGGTTTTAAAGAATTGTAACGATTGGTTCAATACATTTTTTTAAATCAACTCTGTCCTATTACTTTCCTGACAAACTCTATAGAGCCCGCTACTAGCATAAAAAAGAGCTCGGAAAATAGTTTTAATGTTATATGTTAGTTGGAAGGAAAAACTCGATCAGGAAGAAATTGTGGATACACCACTGATAGCTGTCATACAAATTGACCTCTTTTTATACCCTTATTTTGTAGTAAATAAAGTTAACGCTGTTTTTTTCATCTCTTTTCATTTGCTTCTGAAACGAATATTCCATTTAAAACATACATATGTTTTTTTTTTTCAATAAATTAACAGTGTTAATTAGGTCCACTTCTTGTATTTAAATGCATATACATATGTAAATATGCGTATTTGAATATGTAAATATATATACAGACATGTATAGAATAATGTTCGTCTTGACAGCAATGAGCGTCGTCTGTGCGTTAATAAAGCACACACACGCATTCATAATATGTATATTAGGCTATTTAACACATGTACATACATACAAATATAAACAATTGAAAGAAGTTAACACCCACTTTAAGTTAACAGCGAAAGTAAACAAATTTTTCGGCGCACAAATTTCTTGAATATTTGCTATGAATTTTTTAACTTTATGAATTTGTTATTACTTTATTAATTTTTTGTCGATTATTTGCTTTTCATTCACTGAAATGCTTATAAATTTTGTTATCAAAGAATATCTTATATTTTTTTATATTAAAAGCTGAATTTGCCTGCAATGTGAGTGCTGCTGATCACTGAGAGCGAATTCATACCTACACTCATACATATTTACTTATTCACTTACATATGTGCTTATAATCAAATACATGATTGTTTTTTTTTTTAATTACTATAAGCCTCACATACCCAAGGGCAGCATAAATACATACATATTTATATACATGTTATTGCTATTTTCACATATTTTTGCATTATATTTTTCTTACTTTTCTTTGTTGCTTTTCTTCTTATACTTATTGTGTATTTCCTTTGAGTTTTCGACACTCTTTCACACACAAGTTCACAGTCATATTTATTTATACACTTATTTTCATTTTATGTACTTTTTTTAGAATGCACATTCTTCACTATAGCTATGTGTATATAAACATATATATTTATATACATATTATGTATATATTTATATATTTTTACTAATTTCTCACTTTCTTATTTGCGGAAGAAAAATCACAATTTTGCATTTCATACTTATAATGTACTTATTTTCTTGCTTTGCCACTTTGCATACACTTTCGCCACCACTGTACGTGTAAAATGCGTTTGGCTGCGTAGACATAGGCGTATTTTCCCCACTTGTTTATTTCATATTACAAGCACGGCGTCACACGGTAGCCCTCCTCTATATTGAGTTCGGTTAAACGCGATTTATTTTGATAAAATTTTTTTAAGCAAAATTTTCTTGAAAATTCACGTTGCAGCGACCACACGCTCGCGACTGTAATATTTCGACTATTTTGTTATTAACAATTTGTATTTAATTTGAACCATCGCAACAAAACTCAACACTCGATCGTTTAGAGAGCGGCTAGCACTCGGCAGACCAATACACGATGGTGACGAAGAGCGTGTGTGGTATTGCAAGTGCTGTGTGCCATATAGCCCACGTCAAGAGTCAAGAGCGGAATTCTAAGATTGTTGGTTGGTTGGCGCACCACTTTGACTTCCACACATTGTTACATTCATATACTATATATATATATATATATATATTTATATACTGTTTACTTTTCAAGCCACACAAATGTTTCAAGTGCCGCTCTCTGTTGTGTTCGGTTGTTGATTCACAAGTGTCGGCTGATCGGTTTTCGCGTCACTTCATTTGCTCTGCTCAAAACGTGTTTTTCAAGAGTATTTCTGCGTTAATCATGCTTTTAATTATACACGTTTATATGTATGTATTATTTTTATTTTTGAATTGTATATAAATATGTACATACAAACATATATTTTCCGATCAGTCTTCCGTTAACCGGTCGTTGATTTTTTTATCTGACTGCATTCTTAAAATATCATAGTCGCTTCTTGAACGTGTATGTAGTTCTGTTACTTAATCTCCATGGTACAGCTATATAACATCTTTTTTTTGCGATCTTTGAGGGCTTAGTAACACAATGAAAGTGCCAATTGTTGGCTGTGAGTTCACAAAGTACATAGTATGTAAATGAATGAATTAGATATTGCATAGGCCAATAGTTGAGTTGTTGGATGATCTAAATTAAGTTAAGTCGTAGGGTTGATCCAAAAGCGATCGATTTCAATTGGGGGGAACACCAGATCCTTGTAGTTATATTCTTAGAGAAAGAAACACAGATTTATTATGAAACTTCGTGCAATATAGTCCCTTCTCTTTATTGAAATGCATACCTATGATTCCTCCAGTCCACAAACCACACCAAACCGTTCTTTTTTTCTGGATGAAATGGTAACTCTCAGAATCAGTCTTCGTCCCAAATGCGGCAATTGGCCTCGTCGCTTAACAAAACAAAAATTGGCTCGCAAAACGTCGGATCTTCTTGGAACTTTTCAAGAGCCCATAGAGTGAAGCGATTTCGCTTGGGAAGGTCGAGTTCAGTTGTTGCACAAGCTGTATTTGTCGACGTAAAATACGAAAAGTCGTTCCATACGTCAATTCGAGATGCTGTGAACGATTTGTAAACATTGGTAAGGCGTAAATATTTCCATAATGAAATGGAAAAAAATACTGAACAAAAATAACATGACAGTATGACACGATTCTCGCGCGATCTGTCAAAAAAGCTATTGAAAAATGTACCTTCTCATGGATCACAAGTTATATGGTACATCAATTGTCTTTAGCTTCAAAAATGCGAGGTGGAAATCCTTTGAATGCGAATTGTAAAATTTGTTTAGAGTTGAGAAGGAAGATGAAACTGAAAGAGCCGACTTTTACAGAAGAATATTCAAATACACACTGTAATTTTGCACAGCAAAGCAAATAAAATTTTATACTATGTTATAATATAGAAATCTAGTATAATATTCTGGGAAGACGAGAATCCATATTAATATTAGAATCTTCGAATATATATGCATGCCATCTCTTCAGCATCGTACGATGTTTTATTGGGAAACGCAAATATTAGATAACAATAAAAGGCTTTTATCTAGTGCAATATGATGACATTGTGGAAAAAATCTACATATTAGATCTTTATTTAGAAGATAATAGAACTTTATTTACTTTGTTTTAAGTCAGCCGGTTTTAACAAATACACATATCCATATCTTACTTTCAACCTTGTAGACACCTGACGTAGGCAGATAGAGCTCATAATTCACAGTTTCTACGTCAAATTAAGTAAATACATAGTACTTGCATACGTATACTAAGTAAGTGCTGATAAAAATCGTACTGCAACAACTTCAATCGTGAAATTCAAAAAAGAGAAATCATAGTTATAATCTTGAAGATTTAAATCTGCTCTTATACGTCTGGGGTTGTGTAATAATCGTCATCAATGTTCAGAATTAGATATATATAAATATTCATATATATACAATGTATGTATATTCGAAACAGAAATTAATGTATTATTTATCTTGACCATGACATGTACCGATCAATTTTATTTAGTCTACCATTTTTTTAAATCATACATAATCAAACGTCAGTGGATGAGTTTTTTTGGTACCGCTTAGGTGTTACTTTGTTAATTTATTTATCACATATGGGTTTTTACTTTTTAATCGTTCGCAAAACACACAATATACATATACTCACGAAAGAGCTTGATGCTCTGGAGAAACTTAAGCCTGCATCCAAAAAAAAATATATATATATATTTTTTGTGACAATGCAAGTCTTCGAAAATAAGAAACCAATATTCTTAATATACTCAAATGTTGATTGCATTTCAGCAATTTGGAGTTAGTTTAAACTTTCTTGAAACCTTTCGCCTCCTTTTTAGGCACAACGATACACTGTTTTCAGTAAAACAAGCTTTCTTATTTTCATTGAGATAACTCACATGCTGGCGGATATATGTATACGGTATATAGTCATCGAAAATCGTTGTTTTGGTATATGGGTATATGGGACCTTTGCGAAGTATTGACACGATTCAACCCTTTTTTATCACACACAGACATACCATTGTCAGGAAAAGATTAACCCTGAGTTTCAATTATATTTTTCATACATTGACCGATATTTGTGGTAAATTTCAACTATAGGTACAGAGGTCCAAATATTCGGTACCAAGGGTCTTGAACAGTTTTTGTTGGATTTGGACAATTTATAGTCATAAGATGGCAAACGCTAAAGGTATTATTTATGCAAAGTTTTATACCGTTATATTAATTAAAAACTGTCTTATATGGGTAATAGGCGTGGTTGCAGTTTGATTTCTCCCATTTTCGGCCTGTGACATAAAAATGTTAGAAAAATGTTAATTACCCAATTTGGTGCAAATCGCTCGAACAGGTCCTGAGATATGTGAATTTACGTAAAAGTGGGCGGCGCCATGCCCATCGTCCAAATTTTACAACGGCTCGTATAAAGCTCTCTAATACCATCTCGGAAGTAAAATTTAATGTATATAGGTATATACAGCAGCGTGCATAACTGAGTAAATGGTTATCAATATTGCATGTATGGTCCCGTAAAAATTTTAATACTTCATTAATTTTAACAAAACTTTTGCAATTTGTTAACTTATTTTTCCTCTTACAAAAGCTTCCTATCGCGTTTATGAAAAAAAATTAGAACGACCAGTTAGAAAACAAAATCTTTGCAATGCCGCTTTACTCAGAATTGCACGTTTTGCACATTCGAAAAAAAAAACGATCGCGTAATCAACATAACGGGGATTTACCACTATTTTTTGTTTACTTATTCAGTTGCATTTTCTGTGTTTTTGACGAGATAACATCTACTTAAAAAAAAATGAAGAAAATGTCTGTTGAATTAGAAAACAGCATCGTGACATTGACAACAGATGGTCTCTCGTCAAAGGTGGCCGACCAAAATTGCTCACGGACGCAGATGCACGCCTAATAATCCGGGAAATGCAAAAGGACATTACAACTATACCAGAAGGGCCGCAAAAGCTATAAATAAAGGTGAAAGCGAATGGATAGCATGCAGAGGATTAACTTAATATATTGAAAACCTAATTGCCCGATTTTGTAGACAAAAGCGCGTACCCGGAGGAAGAAGTAGTATTTCAGCAGGACGGTGATCCAAAACACACCGCTAAAATTGTGAAGCAATGGTTGGCGCTTGAAAAATTTTCGGTGTTGGAGTGGCCTGCACAAAGTCCTGATCTCAATCCTATTGAGAATTTATGGGCAATAATGAAAATTCGATTGGGATTGGGACCGAAAACCCTGGATGAGCTGTACAGTCGCATACTAACGGAATGGAACAAAATACCGAATGAATTTATTCAAAAGTTAGTTGAGAGTATGCCAAAATGTGTAAAAGCGTAAAATAAAGGAATGTGGACAAAATATTAAAAATTAATAAGTTATTATGGTTATTGCGAAACGAGCAAAACCGCGTAAATATCAGTATACTTTGAATTACTTCATTATTTAAGAAAGTTGATCTCTTATATTTAGTGTTATATTTTCTGTTTTTTAATGCAATAAAAAGAAAGAAAAATAATAATTTACTCAGTTATGCTCGCTACTGTAGTTATTGATTTATCGCGCTTTTAGGACTTCTCCCCGTTATATGGGGAGTGGGCGGAGTTATCATCCATTTTCACACTGTCGGTAATAGCTCTTATAAGAATTTGGCTATTGCAGCTTTGGTGGTCCAGAAGATATGTACATAAAAATTATTAAAGGGTATAAAAATAATACTACAATGATATAAATGTCAAGAAAAGTAACTATGGCACTTGCAAGTCATACGCGCTTTAATTTACTAATCAAAGAGCAACGACATTTTATATTTTATTATAACAAAAGAGCAATCAAATCACTGGCCTTGTTTAAGCGCAAACATAGTCCCCCGATGTATAAAAGCATACAGAAAGCTGCTATAAAATATGTGTATTTACATATATAATTCAGTTAATCATTAAACAAGCAAAGTGTAAATCTGCCGACTTAGTATTAATATGAGTTAGTATTAATAAGAGCGCCGGCATAAGCTTTTGAGGGCACTGAAATGTGCTCAAAGCAACAAATAACTCTTTTTAACACTCTGTATACAGTTAACAACATGGAAATCTATTAAGAGAAACGTTTTTAATGTACGCTTCGCTGTTAAAAGAATTGTTAAAGTTGCAGTTTAAAGTTTTCAGGCTTCTTCGATTGCCTTTAATAAAATTCAATTTAAATTTTGTGCCGAAATTGTTTTGTTAAATTTCCTATTAAAATAACATTTAAACTTTTTATTACATATTGAACACTCTCTTCGCCTCGAAGATGTTTGGTGTCTCTGGAAAATACTATTTAGAATTGATTGGAATGACATTGATTTGTGTTTATTACAA